CCGGCTCCCTTGCAGCCCATCCAGTTTCCAAGTCAGCCCTGGGAAAAGCTAGGAATCGACATCGTGGGCCCGGTTGATCGTGCACCGGCCAGTCAAAGGTTTTTTTTAGTACTCGTAGATTACCACTCCAAGTGGCCAGAAGTCCAAGCCACGTCTTCTGTGACTTCTGCGACTGTCATCAGCTTTTTGAAGAACGTTTTTTCACGCGAGGGACTGCCCTGCGAGATTGTGTCAGATAATGGAGTACAGTTTACCTCCCATGAATTTCAAGATTTCTTGCGTCAACATGGCATCAAACATAGGAGAACGTCATTATACCACCCCCAATGTAACGGGCAGGTGGAAAGATTTAACCGAGTCCTGAAGTCGTGCCTTCAGTTAGCTGTTGTACAAGGTCGTCCACTTCCAGATGCCGTCCGAGACCACCTGGAAGCGTACCGACGTACGGTACATCCTGCAACAGGATTTGCACCATCCTTTCTCCTTCATGGACGAAATCATCGGTCTAGACTAGACGTACAAGGCATGCCGACTAGGACGGTACCTGACAATCTCTTGGAACGTCGAGCTCAGCTACAAGGAAGAGTACAGCGCTATCAACAAAACATGAAAGATTATTCTGACCATCGTAGAGCTGTACGACACCCTCAGTTTCATCCTGGGCAGGCTGTTCGCGTATTCAAGCCCACCCATCACAACAAGTTGCGGAGTACATATACAGAACCACAACGGATACATGCACAGTTAGGACCTGCTACATATCAACTCGCTGACGGTAGGAAATGGAACGCAGCGAAGCTTGCAAAGTCCATACAGCTGCCTCCAGCACAAGTTCCTGACTACGGTTGGGATGATGATGATGACGAAGATGACTTGTATATACCTCCTGCAACTCCAGTGGTTCCTGTACTGACCCCTGTCCGTGGAAGCACTTCAACGTCCCAAGTACCAATTGTTTTTTCCTGCCCGGAGGGTTCCTGTGACCCCGCAGCGTCTGGTCTCTTGGGGAGACCCGGTTCATCTGCTGCACCCATGGCAGGTGCACCTCGCCATGCAGCGCTGGGTTCTTCCAAGGAGCCAGATCTGTTAGCTGCGGCAAAGTTTACAGTTCCGGTTGCTGCGGCCGAGTCTCCTGCTCCGGGTGCTGTACCGGGGCCTGTTCCTGGACCTGTTCCTGGAACTGTTCTTGGAGCTGTCCCTTGGCCTGCCTCTGTTCCTGGGGGCCCTGCTCCTGTTTCCGAGGGGAATCTCGGGTCGGCTGTACCCGACATGATCGGGATCTCTGCACCTGAGCTCTGCCCTGCTTCCGTGGCAGACGCTGGACAGTCTGTGGAGCCTGACAGGCTTGTCAGGCCTGTTCCTGAGGCTGCGGTCAGGCCTCTTCCTGGGCCAGTGGTTGTTGCTGCTCCGGACGCTGTGCCAGGGTCATCACCAGAGTCCGTGGTTGCAGAGCAACTACCTGTCTCCGATCTGGCAGTTTGCCCAGACACACGGGCAGAACTGCTCGTTTTGCCGTCGCCAGAAATGAGTACTCTGGAGTCTTCGGGAACGAGTACGCCATCTATGCCTCCACTTGAGGATTCAGTGGAAGAACTCACGACCGAGTTCCACACACCACCCACGATCTCCGAGCCATCTACAGCTCCTCTACCACCAGCGAGGCAAGGTCGGCCAATACGCCAGAGAAGACTTCCGCTGAAGTTCAAAGACTATATTCTTGCACTTGGCGATGATAGTTTTCAGTCAGATTCGGAGTACAGTGACTAAGGCTTTTGTAGTTATGTTTTCGTAAAAGGTCATTTTTGGTATCAAGTTTGGGTACATATAGAACATTAAAAGCATATCACTGTTATAGCAAAACCTTGGCCAAGGTAAAAATGTCCATGACAAACACAATATTCTAAACAATAACCAAACTAACAAACTAACAGTCAACACTACAATGTGTCATGGACATTAAAATAGGTATGGTTGGATGTTTCATTTTCTTCCCAGGAGGAGGAGAGATGAGAGTGCTCTAAGTTGAAATATGACTCTTGGAATGAAATTTTGATCGTCACGTGACTAGTATGATGCAACCTGAACTTTCAGTGAAAACCCGTTTTGTTCGGATGACTTGTTTAGGATTTTGTTGAATTTTCCGTGTCGTGCACACAAAGAACGTTTATGAACAATCTTTTGCGAATTTCATATTTTTTTTTTTTTGTGTTTCAACGAACAATTTTAAAACCAATATTTCCAGTGAAATAACGCAATTTTCGGGTGGTGAAGTGTTTTGATTTTCGTTATTTTTTTTCACATAACGAATGTATAACGTAAGTCTTCCTCCCACAATTTTCTTATTTTTTTTTTTTTTTTTTTTTTAAGGGAGGGAGAATGTAGTATTTTGATTTGCACGAGATGGCGCTACTTGACATCTCCTTTTTAAAGTAGCCATCTCGTGCATCCATGAAAAAGAATAAAAAGGACAGCACGCGACGGCATGAGCCGCGCGTGATCTGCGGCCTCATCGGCCAGTGTTCGCCCCGCTCCTGAATCCGTTGGTTGTCTTTTCTTCTCGCTCCGGCGACCGTCCAGGTCCGCTCGGGGCATGTAGTTTCCCGGCTACGTCGAACGTAAGTCACCGGCGCTTGCGTCCAATGTAGTCAGGCTTTAGAGCACCGCCGCGTCGGCGCAGAATATAACAGTGCACAAGTCAATTCCCTTGTTTGATCAGCAGTCGGATGCCGTGAAGTTGCTGCTGTTTCAAGATGCATTTGAAGTCGTGAATCCCCTTGGCTCGGCAAAGAAAAAGCACAAGATACTTGCAGTGTACTTCATGCTCGGAAACCTCTACCCATGGAACAGATCACGCATTCGCGCAATTCAACTTGTGCTTCTATGTAAAGAGTCCGACTTCGAGTTTTTCGGGCAAGAAAAGGTATTTGCACCACTGCTAGAGGACATCCGGAGGCTTGAAAACGGAAGCTGTCAGCTGAGAGACGGCAAGAACCTGTATGGAGCTGTTGTGGCGATCCTTGGTGACAATCTGGGAAGCCACACAATTGGTGGCTTTGTTGAGAACTTTAGCAAAGCAAAGCACATGTGTCGGTTTTGTTTAACAGAGAAAAAAGATATGTTTGTTGAGTCCAATCTGACTGGCACTTTCGAGCTGAGAAAAAAGTCCAACTATGACAGGTCTCTAACAATTTTGAGTCAAGATGACACGCTCATTGTTCACGAAGGAGTGAAATTTGACTCATTGTTTAATCGCTTGAGGTACTTCCATGTGTGTGCACCGGGCCTGCCACCTTGTCTAGGTCACGATTTGTTTGAGGGTGTTGTGTCTTATGATATTGCATTGTACGTACAATACTTCGTCCACAAGTGCAGGTGGTTCACACTGGAAGAGTTAAACAGAAGCATCTCCTTATTTAATTTCAAACAAGGAGATGCAAATGATCGCCCCTCGGAAGTGAATTTAAAGCAGAAGCTGAGCGGGTATGCAGTTCAGAACTGGAACATGCTAAGGTTCCTGCCTGTGTTTGTTTTCGGCAAAGTACTAGATCTCGATGATCCTGTGTGGCAGCAGGTGTTGATGCTCTCAGAGATCGTCCAGCTGATCTGCACTCCAGCCATCTCGCTTCCGATGATAATGCGGCTGAAAGACTTGATTGACGATTATCTTCTAGGGAGACTAGAGCTCTTTCCATTTTGTTCTCTACGACCTAAGCACCACTTTCTTGCGCACTATCCTTACCTCATCATGCAGTTTGGCCCATTAATAAGAGTTTGGACTATGCGCTGTGAAAGCAAGCACGGTTACTTCAGAAAATGCGCGAGAAATTGTCAAAACTTCAAAAATATCACATCCACCCTAGCTGAACGACACCAGCTTCTCCAAGCATACAAGGCATCTGGTTGCCTCTTTCCAACTGCCGATCCTTTGACATCTGCATCAAGACTTCAGTTGAGTCTATACAGTGATCACATTCAAAAGGTCATAAAGGATTTTTTTTGGATCTGATGATGATATCTACTACGCCTATAATGCCGAGTACCGAGGACTTGCGTACAGGAGGGACATGATTCTGGTCTTATCACGAGAAGATGATCGGCTGGTGTTTGGTCAGATAATTCTAATTCTGGCAAAAGGCCCTGCGATGTGCTTCCTTGTACGAGTCACCCGGTCGTCCTTGGAACCTTCAATGCAGTTGTATAACCTCTATGATTGTGAATCTGGAAGTTTGAAATGTGTTACTCCAAGCAGCATAATTGACTATGTTCCTCTTGAACCATACCGGCTGGGCCAAGCACAGCGCCCCATTGTGGTGCTGAAGCATGCAGTTTTGGATTTGATTTAATTATTTCTTTACATTGTCTCTCTTAGATGGAGCTTTCATCGCTTATTGCCAGCTGGCTGCCAAGCCTCCCATCAGAAGATGTGGAAGCTGTTGTTTCCAAGCTAGAAGTGTGCGGTGTAACAACCATGGAGCATCTAAAGTACATTGAGGAGAGCGACCTGGACCTCCTAAACCCAGTGAATAGAAGGATCCTTTTGGAAAGGTTTCGCGAAGTCAGTGTGACAACCAAGGCACCCATACCTGCTGCACAACCTACAGCGAGTGTTCCTCTTCCAAGCACCTCACGTTTCGAGAATTGGAGCGAAGACTTCTCCATTTCATGGGATTCGTTTCCACAGAGGCTTCTGGAAGCATGCTACAAGAATGCAAGGCCAACAAAGTCTGACCTGAACCAAATGGTGAGGCAATTGAGTAACAGAATTATCCAGGAGAGCTTCTCGCCGGGCAGGCGCCACCTGAGGGCAATTGCTTCAAAGATTGTAGCTAAGTATCCGTTGTCATATCAAGACATGCTGCAAGGCACAGTTATTGGACAAGGCGTTGAAACTTTGCTCTGGAAACTAGAGAATTGTGTAAATAACAAGAAGAGGCCTCTAGCGCAACCTCTTCCAGAAGAGAGCACATCCGACCCTGATGCGTTTCATCAGCCCACAAAGACAGACCGTCGGGACTCCTACGGATGCGTGGCCTGGAAGCCTGAGCTGCCTCCAGGAGAGACAGCCTACACTCAGGATGAAAAGAGAGAACGTCTGGTAACAGAATATCGCAGGGTATCTCGGGATGATAGACTAGTCACAAAACTCATGAGTGAGACTTACGCAACCCAGAGGCTACTGATCAATAGCTCCAAGGGGGTAGGCAAGGTGAAAGAGGACTGGCCATTCCTGTTTGAGGAGCACCATTTTCTCAATCATGCAGAGCTACTGCTCGGATTCAACGTCAGCGAAGTCTTTGATGATAACATGAAAAAGGTTGGAGTACAACTGTACAGATACGCCTACAGTCAACTGAAGAACGAGGCTGTGAAGAAGTGCCTTAAGGACATTGAGGATGCTAAAAAAACACTAAAAAATGTGACCCCCGAATATGACAGCACTCCGCTCCTGCTGCTGGCACTCTTCGGTGAAGACATTGAATTGATCTTCAAAAATGTTGAGGTAAGTTTTTGTATTCAATGCTTTTAGTATATCGGTTGCTTTACATTTTTTAAGCGAAGTAGATCTACAGAAATCTAAAATCGAAGTAAATCATCAAGATGTCACGTGAAAATGGAATAGAAGCACTGCGGGCGGTATTATTAGTCAAAAATGGGTGTGATACACTATTTTTTTATTCAATCTGTTTACTGTGGGCCGCAGACAGCTCTAGGCCTTAGTAGCATGCACACCACGCAACTCATAAAACAAAGAGCACAGTTACAAAGACATTAAAGATAAAAAAATACAAAAAACTAGCACAGTCTGCTTTTGTGACTTCAGCATGATGAGAACGACTTTTAAACGTTAGAAATTAGAGAACAAATCCAAGTCACTCTTACTGAGTTAAAAATGAATTTCAATTGTGTCATCTGTAATTCGCGTTTAACATTTCATGAATAAGATAAAGAAGAGGCTTTGTTGTGCTTTTTCGGAACACAAAAAGAAATGGCGCTAAACGGTGCTTTAGGCGTCTGCGTTTTCTTGCACTGATCCTCACTACATCCGCTTGAGACGGTGCGTCATTTATCGAATTCACTACCTTGCACAAAAAAAAAAAACATATAGCAACAACGTGTCAGTTCTTTTCTTACCAGGGCTTACTCTCTCCGTTAGGTGTGAAGGCGCTGCTAGCCTGAGCTTGCAGTGCCGATTGGTCGACAGCTGCATGTTAATTTACCCTCATATCCAGGATGACAGCGCGGTCTCGAACGAAAGATGTGCAAACAACGAACCAACAGCCTTTTGCACCCGTCGCGCCACAGAACGGTCGTCAGCGGAAGTTCTTACGCATTTCGAGGGTAATAATGCCAAGTGGCCTTTGGTTTAGTTTTTCACCACGTTCTGTCCTAAACAATATGCCTTCGCCTAGGTTTGAATGCCCTGAGACGAGACGTACTGAATGCACATGAGATTACCTTCACATCGATATTGTGACCTGACTGTTCTTATTGCTTGGTTTGTGAGCATATAAACAATAAAAGCAAAATGCCGTTCTCTAATTCTTTTTTGCTCTCTCGCAGCTATTTTGGGGATGGGGGTGCAATGATGAATTGTTTTTGCTTAATCTTCGGTTAAATAACAGCAGAAGCGTTGGATGCTGCGTAAACTCATGAGCTTTTTACATTTTTGTGTTATTTCTAACGAAGCTTTCGTTTATTTTTTTCTCTCACTAAGACGAACCAGCAGTCAGCGTCTAGATATTTCTAGATAATGATAATATGGACGTTCATGCAATTTAAATGAAACGGAATTTAAAGGCTGCGCTTCGGCGCCGAATGTGGTGGAAAACTGAATCAAAATCGCAGCTCGAATTATTTTCTGAAAGCACCGGCCATTTGGTATCATCACAATTCTCGAAGCACATGGTAGTTTTCGCTGACAACCGTCGCTGCACAATGATGGGGGTAAGCTACATGTTGCTCCGATATTCGCGTTTCTTTCATACGAGACTTTGCACTCTGGTGTCCTGTGCTGATACAAGAAAGCGATCGCTTGGTTCGTATGTGAATGCCAACCTTTTTAGTCATCTGAAATTATTGGATTCTGTACTGTGCCTAATATCCTCACTGCGAAAAAAATGGCTTCTTTAATTCCTTCAATTCATCTTATCATCGAAATCAACCAACCAAAAAAAAATATATTTGTCCTTTAGCCTGATGGTTCGAATGGCTGCCAATATTGGAGATTGGGACTACTGTAGGCACAGGTGCTGAACTAGGAGCATAGGAGTCTGGGCAAACGCGTGTAAATTGTGGAATTGATGCCATGGAACAAAAAGTGTTGAAAATAAACGTCTCAAATTTTTGCTATTAAAAAAATTAAATAAATTTTAGCAATGCAATTTGGCTTATCTGTAATTGAACTTTGCCCGCCAGAGTTCCCCATGAGCAAAGCCTGCATAACCTGGTAATTTAGCAGATGATGAAAAGTGCAGCGATATCGAGTATATATATAGCTTACATCATGTCACAATATGCCACATCAATGGTGCATTTTTGTTTTGGTATTTCTTTTTCGGTTGGAATCATAGCTTTGGGATAGCCCAGATTGAACCCAACATTTTCTGAGTTTTGCGCATTATCTGTGGTTTTTGCAAATGAGAACACCTTTGAGCGTATCTGTTTTTTTTTATGAAAGCAACTGACGATCTTCGTGCTCCGCTAGTGCATCTGTCGACTTATGAAATTGTGTTAGCATCTTGTGGCAATATCATCGAAGAGACGACAACAATTCAGCAACATTGTCCATAGGGACTCTAATTCTGCTTTTAATTTATCAATATTGAGCCGCATACATCATTAAGGCATACTCTGTTTTCTAAACAAATTATACAGAGGTCAGGCAGTACCTTTGAATTGTCCAAAATTGTTTGTTTATGTAGAATCCTTGAAAACATTCAAGTAGCTTGCCCTCTAAATGTGGCAAAAGCAAATTAGACCGAAGTGCTTAGACATAGCACGGGTCATACTAAAAGGACATTAGGTCGTCTGTCCTCATTTTTGTTTACTCTTTGTCTTTCAGGAGAATGCCACTGACTCGGATCTGGGTGATATGGACCCAAGCCCGATCATATGTGTTAAAGGTCAGTATGTGCTTTCAAATTCTGGCCCGAAGCATGAAGGTGGACGAGTTCTGTTCTCATACTGCATCAATTGTTATTTATAGGAGCCAACAACTACACAGCAAGCGAGTTCACAATTTGTGTTGACACAGTGCCGGTGATGACCACAAGCAACAGGGCAGGCTCATTCAAGTTGATGTTCCTGCTCTATTTTGTGTTGAACATTTCGTTCCCAGAAGAAGTGGGCCTTACACTTGAATTTATTCAAAGGTAAGTGCTTCATCACCCCTGCTTTTATTGTTAAATTTGATCTGCTTGTCATATCAAAGATGTATCCTTTACACAAAACCTAGCTTCCAATGGAAGAACCCCAGTGCCTGCTGATTTCTTACAATGCTTTGATTTTGCATGCCAAAACCTCAAGCTAAGGTTTTTCATTGTTTCATTTAGATCATTCAAACTACTGAAATTACTTCTTAGGGGCCACAAAGCTGAATGGCATATTCACAACGATATAGTGCATGAAGGAAACTTTTTTTGCACAAATGAGATCAGTTTTTAAGACAGTTTTATGAGTGATGTTAATCATTTTGTGATGAGAGTCTAACCCCATACATGTCGTTGGAGAAATGATTGCTGTTGTTGAAAACAAAAAAGGTGAACTATGTCATTTTTTATCTTGGGCTAGTTGGCTCGAAAACAGCATAGTGTAAACCATAAGTAAGCACATTCTCCAGTCCTGGGAGCCCTAAAATACTGCAATGTGGTCCGGCGACCACGCTCCCTCCTCACGCACAAACAGACGCACGCATGCGCACACATGCAAACATGCGCGTGTTTGCGCACGTACACATACACAAACCCATCTCACCACGCTCATTACACTCATCAGTGGGTGCAGGTTTGTCTCATTTGCACACGACTTCATCAATTGGAATGAAGGGCATTTCAGCTGCACATGGTGAAAGGGAGACCGTTTATATGCCCAGAAAATGCATGGCTTCCACCTCCTGTAAATGTATCGATAGCAGCGTGCTCTCTTTTGTGTCAAGCCCTGATCCGTAATTACTGCACACCTCGTGCAAGAGTTGTTTTCAGATGGCAAGGAATATCGTGGACACTATATTGTTTTCATTCTCAATATTAAGCACTTCGCCAGAGAAGCTATATATTTTGTGCCTCTGTGCTCTATGCTGTCATTAAATATTCCTGAGAAACGTGCCAAAGAAAACTTGCGCGTCCAAGGTAATAGTAAAATATTTTAAAGTCAGTGCCTGTGTCACCATCAGCACTTCAGCTTCACAAGACCCCATGCTCTCGCTGTCCACATTCTAGTTTACACTGTGATGCTAGGATGGCGAGAAACAAAGGTAACAGTATGAAGTCTCTACTGCAGCTGAGTTTATTTTCTAGAGAATGACAACTAATATACATTTAAACGACTAAAGGGGGATGGAAGAACAGACGTGCACTTTTAGATTGCACATCTGTAAAATATAAAACAAGCTAGTTGACTGAAGCTAGCGAAACAGGATGGAACACTCCAAGTGGTGCTAAAGTGCCCGACAATACTACCTCTTTGAAGGCTCAATAAGTCGATCGACTGGCAGAGGTTACCATTTTTTTCTACTGATATACGTGAAACATGAAATAGTTGTGTAGACAAACACCTGGAACAAAAATTCCCGAATAAAAGTAACACAAGTGTTCATTGAAATGTTAACATGGCTGATTAACACAATTACCATGCTTCTCTAGCCAGAATTTTTGTTAAGGCTATTTTAGAGAAATTCCTTTTCTTACACAAAATGTCTTATTCCTTGGCACACATTGAACAATTTATTGTTCGGCAAGTCCGGGAGTAGGGTTTTGTTCTCATTTACGTTTACACTGTTTTAATTCTCAAGCAAGCTTTAAACAAAAAGGGATCACTCTAAGCGATTGAAACGAACTGTATATGTTAGCAGGCATCTTGCAAAAGAGAGTATTGTTTTGTTGAGCCTGATGAAACTAATTCATTGAAACTAATTGATTAAATATTGATTTAAGGGCAAAAGTGTCAATTGGGAGCTTGTAGAGAGCTTTAAAGAGCACTCGATGGAGGTGCTTGCACCATGGTACACTTTGCCTGGTTCTTTTCTCCAACCTTCAAAAAACGCCCACAAAATGCAAAGAATACCCCATGACATTGCACTCCCCTAATCGCAGCGCACGCGTGCGCTGCGAGCGGGCGTTTTTTTTAGGGTTGGATAAAAGAAGCACTCAAGGTGCACCACATTGCAAACTCCTCCATTGGGTGTTTATTCAGGCTCTCTACAACATTCCAATCGACACCTTTAATTTCCTTTAAATATTTACAGAACAAGGTTATTAGTCGTAATTATTTAATTAGGCACAATAAAAAAAGATATTGGTCCTGGCAAGACGTGTGCTAAGAAATGCACTTGGTTCCATTCGCCTGTAATGCTCCGCTTTTTTTAAAGCTTGGTTCCAGACAACTGTAACCCCCTGTGTACCTTATTAAGCGACCAGGCGCACTTTTCCCTAAAATCATTACTTATTAATATGTGGCGGTGCGCGTAATTCCCGCCGGCAGTTCAAACATCCAAAACATGGCGGCAACCCAGATATCTGGTTCACAACACTTCGGTGTCCTTATTGGAAATGAATGTATCATTATCTATATGATGGACATCTGCCAAATCGGTCGTTGGCACTCACTAACATCGCATCCATATTTTTCCTATGTAACGCATAGTATTTGTAGGAAAGTTTTGGCCAGCATTCCATAACCTCCCTGTGTATTTAAATAATACATGTTTCATGGGGAACAATGCTATAGTAAAAAGATATATTTGTTTGATTTCAGGGGTATTGCAAACATCAACCCACCGAGGGGCACCAAGATTCTTAAAAAGAAGAAGAAGCAACACTGTGTGTCACCCGCGGTTGCCAAGCTGATGGCTTCCCTGGAGGAATATGCCTTTTAAGCTGAAACAGTCTTAAAGCCTTCCTGATTTAAATAAAAGGTATGTTCCGGAAATGTCATCTTTAAGCCCAAGCTAGGTAAAGGGAAGGAATAAAAAGGTGGCATAAATAGAGCGGTACGCTGTCAATTGCACCGAATAAATTGGCTTCTGAATTTTCACCACATGTGTACTCTAGTGGTGCACATTACCTTGTGAACGTCTAAAGCATAGATCCATTTCTGTGAGAAATAAGGGCAAGAATCCTTGTAGCCTCTATGGCGGGCACCAATGCAGGCGACCGAGTCGCAGTGAGCGGCTAGAGCCCGATGCGAAATGAGTACTCGCATTTCACATAAAATGGAAGACTCATTTCACAACGGGCGCGGGTCGAATCGAGCGGTCAACTGGCGATGCTACTTGGTTGTCTGTGTCGTTGCCCACCATAGAGATGCACGTTTGCAAGATAACTAGTGCCATTAAAATACATGTTTGGGTAAAATTTGATATAGCTGTGTGCAGAAGCTAATTTTTAGGTACCAATTTACAGCCTACCACTATTTAGGCCACCCTACACTGGGTTTAATTATAATGCAAGGGTGCAAGCGAGCTGGACAAGAATGATGAAAATAATTCCTGGAGAAGAGGAACAAGAAGGACAAACAGAAATCTCCAAACACAGTTAGGTGACTGGTGAGCGACCGAAAAGATCCGCTTGGTCCTGGTATCGAACCCGGGACCTCTCCATTACACGTGGAGCGCTCTACCAACTGAGCTAACCAAGGGTTAGACGTCAGTAGAGCAAACGGGTTTGTGTTTGTCCTCTGTCCCTCTTGTTCCCCTTCTCCAGGGATTATTTTCATCATTCTTGTCCAGCTCGCTTGCACCCTTGCATGTAATTGCATTATAATTATAACCTTAAATTGCAAGCTTCACCCTCGTTGGTGTTAGACTGGTCGCAGCTGATAAAACCCGTTTGCCCTATTGACGTCTAACCCCTGGTTAGCTCAGTTGGTAGAGCGCTCCACCTGTAATGGAGAGGTCCCGGGTTCGATACCCGGACCAGGCGGATTTTTTCGGTTGCTCACCAGTCACCTAGCTGTGTTCGGGGATTTGTGTTTGTCCTTTGTCCCCCTTGTTCCCCTTCTCCAGGAATTATTTCCATCACTACACTGGGTGTTTGGTTTTAGCTGCCCTAAGTTTTCAAAACAATAAGTTTCATTAGGTAACTTCATTTTGCAATCAGCTTACTCTACTTAGCGGGCACTACAAAGTTGTTTGTGGAAGTAGGTGGCTAATTAACATATATTTTAAATTAACTTCTAATTAGTAAACGGAGCCATATTCTTGCAATTAGAAACTTGCTGGCCATAGTCGAAAGCCACTAAACCTATTCATTAGAAATGCTGGGAGAATGTGCATTGTTTTCACATTCATTTAATGTAAAATTTATGCACCTCACAGAAATAGGTTGGGAACCCCATTGGTCATAGTCAAGAGAACCATTTAATAAGGCATGTAGTGCTTAGGATAATTAAGTTTTAAAATAGTTTTGCATACAATGATATTAACCAGTTTTAGAGACTTGCAGGGCATAATCGGAAATCACTAAATCTGTTAATTTTAGAAGGATTTGGGGCACGTATGAAGTGTGGTATTTCACAAAAGGTACCACTTTTCATACAGGCGCAAGCCTGGCAAAGCGAAAATGTGGATGATGAGACGGAAAAACTTGGAGGTCACGACAGATTTGCAGGCCAGAGAAACAATACATGTGCTCCTAGTCTCTAAATTAGAATGATTTAGTGGTTTCTGACGATGCTTATCAAGTTTCTAATTGTAACTATACGCTTATTTTTTTAACGAAAAGGTTAATTAAAACATCCGTTGTTCCTAGTGGCCGCCAAGTCAAGCAAACTAATGGCACTATCAAGATTTTCCTGGTGCAAGTTCTCTTCAATATTTTTGTCCATAAAAAGAATACCAGGTATATACTCAAAAAGTGTATCGTTAAGAGCCCAAGAGGGCAGAGTTAAGAGTCGAAGTAGGTATGTTCATTAAATTCCATTTAGTCTGAGCCCCAAGCGGGCCAAAGTTAAGAAATAAAACTGCAGTTTCTAATAGTCTGTTGAAGAGAAGCAATCTGTTCAGAGCCAAAGCGTGGCGAATGCAAGAAATAAAGTGGTTGTTTACAAATATTACAATATCGCATGTTTTCTTTCTTTAACAACTTTGACGACTTCTTTCATCGCGAACATCTCGGCGTTAATAAGTCCAGGAAGGTAGGGAAGGTGTAAATATGGCGTGTTCCCAAAATAATCAGTGGTTTATTTCAATTCATCTGGAATATTTGATCTCGCTGACATTTCTGTGCCACAGAAAAAAAAAGAGTTCTCAAGTTGATCTCAGAAACATTATAATTAATTTGAATTTCGGTTAACTAAAAATAACCCTCTAAAAAGCTGCAAGCCTGCGAGCTTTTGAAGCTTGCAAAATGTTGGTTGATGAGCTCAATTTGAAAACATGTTTCTTTCACACGTCTACAGAATACCGTAACTATTGCCGTATTCTGTATGCAGGGTGCGGTAACAATGTATAAGGGCAGGTATAAAACTATAAGGCCTCAAAAGGCTTTGTCGCAAAATATAGCGTATTTATTCATCAAATAAATTATTGCCATGTTTCTCACAGGCATTTAGTAATTTTTCAATAACTATTCAAACTCTTCACATTCACATTGCAAAGTAAGACTCAATTCCGCCCCTGTAGAGGTCGTTACTCCTACTTCGAGACTCGTGTGCAGTGTCGGCTTGTCTTCCGAGAAATCTAGTCCGAGTCTAGGCGAAACAAAAGGTAGTTAACAAATGCACTCGGAAGATGCCACTTTCTGGATGTTGATGATCTGGAACTGCATGCCAATCTTCCAAGTCGAAGCAAGGACTTTTACAGGACTGGAATTCAGCGCCTTACTCAGCAATAGAGAAAGACTGAAGAATAATGGAGGCCTTGTTAAAACAAGTGTAAATATTTAAGAATATGTCCATAATCGGTAGCGAGCAAGTATATGCGCTACCTTGCAAGAAAATTTGACATTACCCTCTCACTTTCTGTTGTACATGTTTCTTTGTGTACTGGTCCCGCAAAGGCGACAGACAGCAACAGCCGACTCTGAGAAACCTACAGCATTCACACAGGTGTTATCTTTGGCAGGCTTGAATCACTTGAGCTTCGTTCCCGAGCTCAGTGTGCTCCGTGAACGAGGCATGACTGATTGCAAGCATGCCAAACTTCGCTTTGCATTGATGCTGCACGCAATCGTGTTTTGCCTGTGTCGGTTGTTGCTTATGTCGCTCTAGTAGGGCTCGGGCTTAACATGTTTTTTCTCGATGCTGTGGGACAGTTATTCTTATTACGTAAACTCTGTTACATGTTTTAATGGAAACTAACTTTCTTGGTAACAATCTTTTTAAGTTGTCTTTTTACAAAGGTGTAGAACAGAAACTCTGTTTCCTTTTCAAAAGAAACTTTTTTTCACGATATTCAAAAATAGAAAGTCGATCTTTTTACAGAGTCCCAGAACAGAAACTCTGTTTACTTTTCGAAAAAAACTGTTTTAAACAACATTTAAAAATAGAAAGTCGATCTTTTTACAAAGTCCCAGAACAGACAATTATTCTTTTAACAGAAATCATTTTCCCGCAAAAATTGGGACAACAGAGTGTCGATTTTTTTACGAAGTTCCAAAACAGACAATCCTTGTTTTAACAAAAGCCGGTGTTTTCAAAATAATCGACTACAGAAAGCCGATCTTTTTACAAAGTTCCAAAACAGACACTCTTTGTTTTAACAGAAACCGGTTTTTCGCAAAATTTGACAACAGAAAGTCTATTTTTTTTACAGAAAAGCCAAGAACAGGAAATGCTATGATTTTAACGGAAAGTATGAAAACGGGGAAACAGACGAAAACAGAAAATTCGTGGCAAGAAACTTGCCAAGCTTTTCCTGTTTTTTTACACAATTATTTTTTACAGTGTGGTTTCGCGTGAGCACGAGATCGCCTACTTTGCAGCGGAGATCACGGCGAGAGCGGTCGTACTGAGCCTTTTGTTTAGCTCGCGTTAGCCCGAGATTGCGACGGGCCTCCGAGAAGGCTTCCGTCATCCGAGTTTGTAGCGAGCGCGCGTGTTCAGTCTGTTGCGACTGTGCGTCGCTCACCCCAGCGCTTGCATTTATAGACGCGGTCCATTGGATTGGGCAATTTTCTTCCGAATGTGAGGAAGGCTAGGGTGAAGCCTGTCGAACGATTGACAGTGGAACGGAGAGCGAACCCAATCTCGGGAATGTATGCGTCCCAGTCGCGGTGCTTTTCAGCAAATGCTGCCAGCATGGGCTTGGTCTTTCTGTTACATCGCTCCGTGATGTTCGCCTGTGGGTGGTAGGGTATCGCGGCGTGCTGGATGAGGTCTGACAGAAGCTTCTTGATATGGACCCGGAAGAGTACCGGATACTGCTGCGCGTCAGCCTGGAACGATTTCTGTAGCTCCCTCACGCATGGAATAACAAATCTCGCGATAAAACAATCAAAACAAAAATATGCGCACTTTTTGTTTTTACGTGAAAAATAAAAAAAAAACATTCTTGTTGCTGCACTAAACGTTTTTGAAGCCAGTTTCCGCCCAGTATTAACGAGTGAAAAGAACTTGGCTATTTTAGCCTCCGTGTCGGTGGACTGGAGTAGCATTTCATTTACATTACAGTTAACCTTTCCGACAAACCTGTATGTTTTTATTTGTTATTGGATAAAAAAGTTTTTAACGACTCACGAATAAAAACGAAAACGAGTAGACTCCGTTCTATTGACCAATCGCCTGACGAGCCTACATTGATGTCACGGTCCACGTGACTGCAATGCTAAATTTTTTTTTTAGCAGACTAGGGCGTCGCTAGCATCGGTCACGGTATGATTTTTAACGCGAAAGCGTTAAGGAGCTCGTGTTGCAAAAAAAGCCGACCTCGGTGGCGCGACGCGTAAATCCTGGTTGATCGAAAGGATCATGACGTCACAGTCACATGACCTCGCGCGGGAATTTCAAACATCCCACAATGCTCACGTGGAACGTGACGTCACGCGTGGAATGAAAGTGACTAAAAACATGTCATATAATGCAAATTAAATAAAGATCGCCGCATGTCTCGAATGATTTCACTTACTAAAGTAATTCATTTGGCTTAAAATAATTTAAGAATTTTACTCGGGATTCGATCCTAGGACCCTTCGGTTAAGAGTCAGCACTCCTCGCTCATGCACTCTCAGAAAGAGCATGGGAAACGCATGAGAAGGCGGTGTCAACGGGGCCCGATAACACTTTTGCGTTCCGCTCCTAAAGGAGAAGCTTAAGCGTCCTCCAGTTTTTGCTCCACCTGTTAAAGTAATTTGTGCGGCGCGCAAACGCAAGGTCGGGCTAAAACTTCGTCAACATATTACCTGCGACACACATGCACGCCTTCTATTTGAATCGTTAAACTGAATACCCAAATCGTCTTAAAGGTGCCATTTTTGTATGCCGTGTTCCTTCCTTCCATCTCCCACTCCTAATTCCGCCTCACGCCTAAAAGGCCGACAAGGTCTCCACCCCAGCTGCCTCTGTATTCGCTCGCGAGGAGGCAAACAAACCTGAAACAAGGTAGAAGAAATGTGGCTCGAGCTGCACATCATTTGAAAGTACGTCGTTCAGCAGAGATGTAGTAGAATTGCAGCGTCCCTCCTTTTTTCCAAAGGTTTTAGCACTGATTCACCCCCCCCCCCTCCTTGTCCCATACTTAGCGATGCCCCACGAAACTAGTCTTAAGAACCCCGCAAATCCGGCAAGTATCAACGCAGCGTCTGCATACGAACACGGTAAGATGACTGTCGTTCGCAACTGGGCGATACTGCCGACGAGCAAAGGTCTGTGTTTGTGCCAGTGCGCGGGAACATACACTAAAGTGAGACAGTAAAGTGAGGACTCGACCATCATGCCCAGACAAGTAAACCAAAAGAAGTATCGTCCGCACCCTCGAAGACGAAGCTCTTAGCCTCGCGCCAAGCGCATTTTAGCCATGCCTCAAGAGGGTGCTAGAATAAAGTAGCGCAAATCAAAGACAAAAAGGATTCGACCCCCTCAGTTGAGCCTCAGATTTGTACGTAACGCGTTACAAGTAATTGAATACTTGTAATCGATCATATTTTACTGTAATTTTGTAACGCTTCAATTACTTCATTTAAGGAGTAATGATCCTTGTAATTGAATTACATTTTTGCTGCAATCGATTACAAAATTACCCATTACAATTTGTCTCTATATCTGTTTAGGGGGGTTTGGGGGGGTGGGTGGAGGGGTTAGATGTGCTGGAGTCACTCAGCTCTAAGCAACGGTTAATATATTTTTTTTTTCTTTTTTGAAACCACTAAGCACGGGACCTCGAGGATCAGTAGGCCACTTCACTATGCTTAATTTCCTGGGCACATTTTTTTTTTTTTTTGGTGCAACGGATACTACGTCCGGGTATGAAAAATTACCTTATCCAGCCTCTTGTGAGTAACGTATTTTAACAGCAGTCTTTTTATTTATTTTTTCAAGAGAGGGATCGGGTGTGTTGGTGTCTCACTCAGCTCTAATAAAAACGGTGAAGGCTTTTTTTTCTCGAACAATTGAGCGCGAGTATTCAAGGATTATGCTGCCGTAATAAAAAAAAGTTTAATGAAGAGTAACGTGGGAAGTAATCGATTACTTTAGGGTCAATTTTCGATTACTTTTTCTAGGCTGTAATTGTAATTGTAATCGGTTACTTTTTACAGTAAAGTAATTGTAACTGTAATCGGTCACTTTTTTCCGTTACGTGTACAAGTTTGGCGAGGCTGCATCGTCTGTTACGCGAGTTGTGAACCCGCGAATCGA